CGGAATGTGTGGTGACGTTGTGATCCACCCTGAGCTTGCTTTGCTTTGCTTGACTGGTCTTCTGACCTCTTGTTCTCCCCCACTTTGCCTATGGGGGTGTGTCAAACTTATATGCTATGGTCTGTCTAGGCTGTAGTGGGGTAGACACTATAGGGTACAACACTTTTAGGTTTTCCTACTTGTACCCACCTGCTTTCTAGTTCATTCATTCCTTCCTCATTTCTTCACATTGCTGTCTTACCACAATGACTTAGGTGACTCACTTGGTGAAGACTGTACAGTAAGAAACGGTTGAAAGAGGCCCTGCAGACAGAAGCTTCCCTGAACAACTGCTGCCCGCCCAGAGTTGGAAAGTGTTGCAAGTCAGAGTGCTGCCATTCATGTTGTACACGCCGTATCATGTCTTGTAGTTTCCAGCCACCTCCTTGGGAAGATCCGTGCACCCGTCTAGGTTGGCACGCACGGTGTACGGCCGGGATGCCTTGCCCAGTGCCTTGGGGTCCTGGATGAGCGTTATGCTCGCTGCTCCCACTGTAGACTTGCCGCCTGAAATTGCAAGGTGAAAGGGGAGAGGCAAGTGGAGCAAATTTGGAGTGGGGCGATGAGCAAGGAGAGGGTTGTGAATGCGCTGTCTCTAGATGCCGGGCATTTGGCAGGAATGTGAAGCAGTGAAGTGTGGATGCTGTCCTGATGCAAACATTGCAGCAAAGGTGGCAGCGCACTCAAGCCGCCCCGCGGAGGCCCACTGGTGAGACGCATGTTTTTGTCATCTAGTAGGCATCGAATTACATACAGTGAGCTGGACGGAGTAATGCGCATTCAATAAGGCAGATGCAGTAAGGAAGGCAGATGCAATAAGGCAGATGCAGTAAGGAAGGCAGATGCAATAAGGCAGATGCAGTAATGCATATGTAGTAAGGCAAATGCAGTAAGGCAGATGCAGTAAGGCACATGCAGAAGGCACATGCAGTAAGGCACATGCAGTAAGGCACATGCAGTAAGGCACATGCAGTAATGCAGATGCAGTAAGGCACATGCAGTAAGATGCAGTAAGGCAGATGCAGTAAGGAAGGCAGATGCAGTTAGACAGATGCAGTAAGACAGTTGCAGTAAGGCACATGCAGTAAGGCACATGTAGTAAGGCACATGCAGTAAGGCACAGTAAAGCATCATGCCTCAAGAAAGTGGTGACACACCTTGAATGCAAGCATCTTGGGTCATGCCATGGCCGTCAGGGCAAGCGCAGTACGGAATCGGGTTGCCTGCCTTGGAAGGTGTGGTCTTGCAGGTGGCTCCAGTGGGGCAGCTGCCACACGGCGAGTCTGAGAGAGGCAGTAGAGGCAAGAGAGGGTGCGGCAGGGCAGTGCAAATTTACACTGGGTAAGGTTGGGAACAAGGTTTCTTTTGTCACGAGCAAGTGTGAACTTGATGGCTCCAGTGGGGAAGCTGCCACATGGCGAGTCTGGGGGAGGCAGTAAAGGCAAGAGAGGGTGCGGTAGAGCAGTGCAGGGTTGCGATAGACCCGTAAAGATGAGCAAGGGTGGGAAAGGCCTGAAAGGCGTTTTGAGTCGACTCAGAACAGAGAGCGGTAGGGCAGTGCAGAGATGCCAATAGAATCGTTGAAGATTGGCAGGGATGGAAAAAGCCTGAAAGGTGAAATATTGCTGTCCCACAACAACAGGTACTAGATTTTAATGCCGTGGAGAATCAGCATGACATTAACACCATTCCATGACGGGCCTGCCACACCATGCTAGCACATGCCCCCTCCCATCATGGGTGCTCACCCCATTTGCAGTAGCTCACGTTTGTTGCAATGTGCTTCAGACAAGGTGCCCCTCTGGAGCCACCTGCAAGGCATTCACACCATTCCGTGACAAGCCCACCACACCTTGCTAGAACCTACCCCCTCCCATTATGGGTGCTCACCCCATTTGCAATAGCGCACTTTCTTGTCAATGTGCTTCAGACATGTCCCACCCGGCGAGCAACCCAAGGCCAAGCAGGCAGCATCTGAAACATGAGCACATCAGGTGTGATGAGTGCAGACAAGGAAGGATAGGCGTGAAGATAGGATGGAAATTGGTATGAACACAAAATCACCTTTGAACACAGGAGCACCTTTGAAAACAGGAGAGTAATTGTTTCTGATGCAAGAGTTACAAAAAATTATGTGCTGCATTGAGATAAGTTTGGGAATGAAAACGAGTCAGCAGCAACGAAAAGCAAGCAACATGAGAACGTTGTGTTGAGATAGATTTTGGACACAAGAAAACAAGGCAACAAGAACAAACCATTGCAAGCCTGCTTTTGGGTTTCGAAGCACCACGCCTTACCAGAACAAGTGCCATCAGCAAGCATGTCAAAGCCCTCATTACAGGAACAGTATGCAACCCCTGCCTTATCCTTGCTGCACGTGGCGTTGGCCCCACACTTGGCGCATGTGTCTGTGACGCAAGTGCCATGAGAAAAGGCGAGTTTGAGAAATGGGGAAACGAGTCAGTAGCAACAAAACAGTGCAAGAGAGCAACATGAGAAACGATGTGTTGAGATCACTTATGTGAACGGGATAACAAGAGAACAAGGACGAGGTTGGGCTTCAAAGCAGACGTGCCATGCCTCACCAGCACAAGTGCCATTGGCAAGCATTTCGAATCCCTTGTTACAGGAACAGGATGCATTCCCTGCCTTATTAATACTGCACGTAGCGCTGGCCCCACACTTCATTGAAGCGCATTTGTCTGTGATACAAGGGCAGAAAATGTGTGTCGAGTTGAGACAATTTTGAGAATAGGAAAACAAGACAATAGCAACAAAACACTGCAGCCAAGAAACATGAGAAACAAAGAGTTTTGAGATTTTTGGGAATGGAAGAACAAGGAAACAAGTACACGACACTGTAGGCTTGCGTTTTCGTTTCAGAGGACCACTACTCACCAGCACAAGTCATATCGGCAAGCATTTCGAAGCCCTTGTTACAGATTCAGTAATCTCCTGCCCCATTACGGCCACAAACGGCGTTGGCCCCACAGTTCCTCCAACATCTAACTGTGATGCGAGCCACACAAGAAAAGGTGTGTCGCAAAACGTGTGAACGGCAACACAAAATTGCATGCTAGCTAGCAACATGAGAAACGCCGTGTTGAGAAATACTTTTGGGAACAGGAAACCGATGAAACAATCACAAAAGAGTGCAAGTGTGCTTTCGGGTTTCAGAGCACCGTCTCTCACCAAAACAGCTGTCATTAGCAAGCGTCACATGGCTGTCGTTACAGGTACAGGATGCAACCCCTGCCCCATCCTTGGTGACTTTTGATTCGACTCAAAAGTCACCACCATGTCTCACTCACCAACTTTTGAGGCGCCTCAACCCCACACTCCATGGCAGCGCATTTGCCTGTGACCCGAGAAACACAAGAAACCGCGTGACGTGATGTAATCGGGAACCTGTAAACAATGCAACAATAACAAAACTCTGCAAGCAACACGAGAAAGGTTGTGCTGAGATGATGGAAATGGGAATACAAAGAAACAAGAAAAAAACCCTGCAAGCATGTCTTAGGGCTTCACACCACTGTGCCTCACCAGCACAAGTGCCATCAGCAAGGGTTTCAAAGCCTTTGTCATAGGAACAGATTGCATCCCCTGCCTCATTTATGCTGCACGTGGCGTTGGCCCCACACTCCATGACAGCGCATTTGCCTGTGACCCAAGAAACACAAAAAAACTGCGTGTTGAGATGAGAGTAAGAACGGAAGAACGAGGCAAAAGCAACAAAACATTGAAATGGATGTTGGAACTTATGCAACTACCCAGTACCAGTTTCTTTAGAGCGAACACAAATGATGGTGGGCATGCCAAGGTGGCATCGAGGCAAAAGCGCAGACCCATACCCGTAGCATCACTACCAGCATACCTAGGCAAGTGCCGTTGAGTGCAGCAAAGCCCGGGTTGCATGCACAGGTGACGCCCTTGCTGCCACTCGTTGGCATGCACGTGGAGTTGCTCGGACATGTGGCGTGCTGGCAGGTGATGTCTGCCATGCCATGAGGGGTAGCAGCAGCAGGGATGCGTGCAGCAGACAGGCCGGAGAAACCAATTGCATTGCATGTGTTCATGAAATGCATTGCTGGCAGGTGGCGTCTGAAATCATGGGGGCAGCAGAGACGTGTGCGGCTAGGCCGGTAAAACCATATGCCTAGCAGATGCCCTTTTCATGGAATTGTAAAGTGGCAAGGTGGCAAGGAAGCAAGCAAGGCGGCAAACGCACCAGGCGTGCAGGAAACAGAAGTCCATCGGGAGATCTTCTTAGAGCTGCAAGGAACACGTCAGGAAAAAACATTCAGGAAAAAACATTGACGTGGTTAAAGACGATGAGCATGTGCTTCCGTTTCCATCATCTCCACCACACCAAGTTCACCATTCCATGCCACCCCCTCGATTAACATGTTTCACTCTGTGCAAGCCTTGACATGCGGATAATTGCGATGAAAACGGAAGCACATGTACATTGCCTTCCAATGGAGCATGGGGCAAGCACATGTGCATATGTGCACAGATGCGCAGATGCACGCACACAACTTGCAGACTGCGAGTACCCAGCATGCGCACCCACACACATACTACACACGCACACACAACACACACACAAGCACACAACACACATGCAGAGAGCACACACCTGGCGTGTGGTCATGATAGCGGCAAAAGTGAGAGCACCAAACGTCTTGATGGTCCTACACGGATATGAAGAACTCACACGCACACGCTAGACACACAGAGGACATGCACAACATGCACACAACACACACCTGGCACGTGGTCATGATGGTGGCGAAGGTGAGAGCACCAAACGTCTTGATGGTGTAGGAGTTGAAGAACTGGCTTATGGTGGCCGCCTGATGGGGTATGGGGGGCAGGAGGGTGGACGAACATGTGGTAAGGGGGAAGGGAGGAATGGCTGCTGTGCTGATGGAGTGTGTGTGGGGTGAAGAACTGGCTTATGGTGGCCGCCTGATGGGGTATGGGGGGCAGGAGGGTGGACGAACATGTGGTAAGGGGGAAGGGAGGAATGGCTGCTGTGCTGATGAAGTGTGTGGGAGATTAAGAACTGGCTTATGGTGGCCGCCTGGTGGGGGAGATGGGAGGAGGAAGGGGGGAACAGCTGGACGGGGGAAAGGGGGGAACGGGGAAACAGTTGGTAAGGAGGAAGGGAGGCACGGCTGCTGTGCTGATGGAGTGTGGGAGATGAATGAAGACCTGGCTGATTGTGGCCGCCTTGTGGCCGCCTTGTGGGCGCAGGCGGCAGGGGGAGGCAGGGAGAGAAAGGGTGAAACGGTTGCTGTCTTGATGGTGTAGGAGATGAAGAACTGGCTTATGGTGGTCACCTGGTGGGGTAGGGGAAAAGATGAGAGGAGGTTGGGAGAGGGAGTGGAGCGTGGAAAAAAGAAACGGGTGGGAGGGGGGAATGAAGGGCGGGTGGGAGGGGGGAAGCGAGGACGGGTTGGAAGAGGTAAGGGGGGAATGGGTGCTGTGTTGCCTGTGTAAGAGAAATGAGTTGGAGGACTGGGTGATGCTGGTCGCCTGGTGGGGGTAGGGGGGAAAGTAATAACCAAGTTTAGGCATACCAGCGATTTGAACAAACCTACTTACGACCTAAGACACATCCAGAATTGTCAATGGGCGCGGTACCGCTGTTTGTAATGAATGCACGGCATACCATTCCACAGAAGCACTGATCGTAGAGAAGCAAGGTAAGGCGTACCACAGAGAGCACTGCGATGTGGAGGGCACAGTCGGGATGGCACACGATGAATGCGATAGCTGCTGATAGGTCCTGGCGCAGGCCTGGTGGGGGCAGGCGGGAAGGTGGGGACCGGGCAGGAACACAAAACGTATGGCAAGGCAACATGGTGATGGAGCGGCACAGTCGGGATGGCGCATGATGAATGCGATGGCCGCTGATAGGTCCTGGCGCAGGCCTGGTGGGGGCAGATGGGGAAGAACGGGAGGGGCCGGGACGGGAACACATAAAATATGGCAAGGCAACATGGTGATAGAACAACACAATAGGATGGCGCATGATGGCCATTGCTCGGGCTTCGCGCAGGCCTGGTGGGGGGTGAGAGAGGCAGAGCGGTGGGGAGGGGCATACGACATATGTCGTTACAACATCAAGGCAGGCGGGAGGGTATATGGCGTATGGCAGCACAATGCAACATGATGACATGAGAGCACAACGACAGGAGAGCATGATGTAGGGTGAATGCAGTGAAGCACCTGATTGGCTGCATGGGTGGCAGCAGAAACCCACTTAGCAGGCTGATGAGAGAGGAGCAGAGCGTGATTCAGAGCACCTGAACCTGGTTGCTTGGCAACATTTGGGTCATTGCCCACTCACCGCATCGCATCTTACCTGGCAGGCATCCTACCCTGGGCGTTTAGTTAAAACAGTGCGACTCACCCAGCAGGGGATGACAGACGAGCAGAGCGTGACGTAGCGTGAATGAGGTGAAGCACCGGGTTGGTCAGATGCACGCGGTGGCAGCAGTGACTCACCCAGCAGGCTGATGACGGAGGAGCAGAGCGTGATGTAGAGCATCTGATTGGCTGGCAACACATGGGTTATAGCCCACTCATCGCATCTTACCCACCAGGCATCCTAACCAGGGCGTCTGGTTAAGGCAGTGCGACTCACCCAGCAGGCTGATGACGGAGGAGCAGAGCGTGATGAAGAGCACCTGGTTGGCTGCGGGCATGTCATAGCCCTCAAACAGCTTGTCCTGAAACGTGTTGGTGAAGCCGTCAAAGGGGGGGAAGAGGGGAGGGATGAGTTTGAGGGGACAGGCGGAGAGGGACGAGGAGAGGGGCAAAGAGAGGCGCAAGGAGAGGCGCAAGGAGAGGCGCAAGGAGAGGCACAAGGAGAGGCGCAAGGAGAGGCGCAAGGAGAGGCGCAAGGAGAGGCGCAAGGAGAAGGGCAAGGAGAGGCGCAAGGAGAGGCACAAGGAGAGGCACAAGTAGAGGCGCAAGGAGAGGCGCAAGGAGAGGCGCAAGGAGAGGCGCAAGGAGAGGCGCAAGGAGAGGCGCAAGGAGAGGCGCAAGGAGAGGCGCAAGGAGAGGCGCAAGGAGAGGCGCAAGGAGAGGCGCAAGGAGAGGCGCAAGGATAGAGGCAAGGAGAGGCGCAAGGAGAGGCGCAAGGAGAGGCGCAAGGAGAGGCGCAAGGAGAGGCGCAAGGATAGAGGCAAGGAGAGGCGCAAGGAGAGGCGCAAGGAGAGGCGCAAGGAGAGGCGCAAGGAGAGGCGCAAGGAGCAGGACACAGAGAGAGGGAGAAGGGGTGGCATGTAATACCCCTCAAACTGCTTTCCCTGAAACGTGTTGGTGAAGCCTGTCAAAGCTGGGAGGGTGGGATGGAGTGGAGGGATAAGCGGAGAGGACACACAGAGGGGAGGAAAGGGGAGAAAGGGAGAAGGGGCATGCTGGAGCCGACCAAATGCTTTGTTTTAAAATGAGTCGGTCAACAGACAAAGCTGAATGCGAGATTTGCAAGGAAACAAGATGGATGGGAGGAAACAAGAGGGAGCGGGGGGGCGGGGGAAATGACGTATAGAGGTATCCCACACATTAATTACCATACCCCAGACTTCCCAGTCATGCACGAATTTGCCCCAAACATCTCATTCATGCACCTCCTGTTCATGCACCTCCCATTCATGCACACCTCCCATTCATGCACCTCCCATTCATGCACCGCCTTACCCCAGATATCCCATTCATGCACCGCCTTACCCCAGATATCCCATTCATGCACCGCCTTACCGAATGGGGACGAGACGAGTCACGAGCGTGTACAGGTGCCGTATGGGAGACGAGAGTGGGAGGTGGTGGAGAGGGGGAAAAGTAAAGGAGGTGGGGGAAAGGAGGCGGGGGAAGAAAAGGGGGTGGATGCGGGAGATGGGGTGTGTAGAGACGGAGGGAGGGAGGGAGGGAGGGAGAGCAAGGAAACGGAAGGGAAAGGAAGAAGGAAGGAAGGGTCACACGCTGAGGAGGGTTGCATGCGATTTTACTGACTGCCAAAGTGAACCGCGAGAACAAGCGAGCAATGACGAGTCAACACTGACCGATTATTCACGTCACACACAAATGTGAAGGCAAGGTAGAAAGAGACTGGAACTGAGAGCTGAGAGTGGTGAAGTAATGTGGCAATAAGGATGCACAAGGCAAAGTAACTCAACAGTGATGGAAAACAAAGAAACAAACAAACAAAGAAACAAACAAACACACAAACAAGCACACAAACAAGCAAACACACAAACAAGCAAACACACAAACAAACAAACACACAAACTTTCAAACAAACTAACACACAAACACACAAAAAGGAGGAGGGAGGGGAGGCACACCACGTTGAGGAAGAAGAGGCAGGAGCCGAGGATGATGGTGATGGCGATAATTTACTCCCTGGGCTTGTACTGCTTGCGCGATATGAGCGTGCCCAGATCTGCAAAAGCAGCAGCATGGTTGCAGCAGCAGCATGGTTGTAACAGCATGGTTGCAGCAGCAGCGTGGTACACGACACGAGGGAACAAGATGGAAAATTGCGCTAAGCGAAAATTTCGAACCGAAATTTTCGATCGAAAATTTCAGCCGTTTTTGTAAAATTTCGGCAAAATTTTGATAGACCTTAAAAAAAAAAAAAAAAAACACTGCCTCAATTTCTCTGACTGCGAAACGCCAGATCCGCTCTAGATTTAATGGCGAAATGCCAGATCCGCCCTAGATCTAATGGCGAAATGCCAGATCCGCCCTAGATCTAATGGCGAAATGCCAGATCCGCCCTAGATCTAATGGCGAAATGCCAGATCCGCCCTAGATCTAATGGCAAAATGCCAGATCCGCCTAGATCTGGCGGCGAAATGCCATTACAATGCCATTACAGGCGCGTTCGCCTGGGGGGTTATGGGCGCACTGACCCGCTACTGAAACAAGCCTTTTTATCCCAATGTTCTAGTGGTTGGGATTCTGACAGGAATTAGGGCGGTGTGGCATGGTGTGACGTGGTGGCATGATGTGGTGGTGGTGCGGCATTACGCGATGCTGGAGGCATGGTTCGGTTGGTCACATGGCACGTGGCTGGGTTGAAGAACTTACCAGCACGGGCACCATGCGGGATGACTTGGCTATGGTCTGCAGAGGGAAGCTCACGTACTTGAGAGCCTTTTGTGGGGTTGGGGGCACAGGGTAGGGTTGGGGGGATTAGAGTGAGGTTGGGAGGATTAGGGAGGGGTTAAGATGGGTTTGGGGGGGTGAGTGTCCAAGAAGGGCGCGTGGGTGGGTGGGAGGGAAGACCGGGACAACAATGTTGGCGATTTTTTTCAATTAAAAGGAAAGGGGAAAAAGGTGAAAGAAGTTCTTCTTGCATGCGCATCACAACCACATTCAACTTCTGAGTCGACTCAAATTTCAGCGATCAATGCAGCGTACCTCGTATTGGCACCCAGAGGAAATGACATTGGAGAGTGACACAGCGCCAGCCATTTGAGGCGCCTCAAAAGCCAATACAGCGATCATTGCAGCGTGCTGCGTACCTCGTATTGGCACCCGGACGAGATGACATTGGAGAGGGACACAGCACCATAGGCATAGTTGGGAGCCACCAGAGCCAACGACGCTCCTGTCACCTGCATGTGTATGATTGGGGATGGATGGAACACAATGTGGGGTTTGTGAGCTGTGTGTGAAGTACTATAGATTTACCGGACAGGGCTGTACAGTGGATTGTTATGATGGATGCAGCACACGGTACGATCATTAGCTCAATAGTGTACGCTGTACAGTATCTAGTTCGTCCTGTAAGCTGGCAGGTGGGTTCATCAGAGCACTGAGATGAGCACTGAATCGCTCATCGGAATTCGGGGTGACGCACCCGTTTTGCCTGGGACGACGCAGGGGGGTGACGGTCGACCGAGCGTCAGGTCGGCCAACTCCCTCGCGTGAGTCCCCCGCCAGGCTGGCGCGGGGCGGGGCTCTGCCCACGCCCCCCGCCTCGGCCCCCCACCCCGAATTCCTACAGAACCCCACGTTGCAACCGAGGGGTGGCGAACTCGCGCGCGAGCGATGAGGGGCCTAGTTACCCCTTCACGGAGGCGGACATTTGCTTCGCGTTGCCCGCGAGGCCCTAGTAACCCTCTCGGGCTGCCCTCGCCGGGCAGGCGGGTTGGTTGCGAAATTCAAAGGGCCCGACCCCACCCTCGTCAACATCGCTGGCCCCTCGGGAGGGGACACGTGGCTCGCCCTCGCCACCCCGACCACCCCCATGCACGGCCCACACAAACCACCCACCTCCGCCCCTCCGAACCCCGCCCTCGAGGGCAGGCCCGGTTCGGGCCGAAGCCGGAGGCTCGCCCTCGGCCACGACCTGCCTCGTCCCCCGAGCTGCATACTGGGCGACCGACGGCCCACGCCCATTTCTTGATGGGGGGTCCCACTCCATCCGTCATTTCTCCTTTCCAACTTCTTCGCTTTCTGATTTCCTCTGCCTCCCTGTCAGCTCTCCGCGCTCCTCCCCAAACCTTCCGTGATACCGTGGTGTTAGCATGGCGACCAGTAGGATAGCACTGCCTGCGATCGAATTCCCCCTCCAGGTGCCAGTGGGCATCGGTGGGTACATGGTGACGCTTGAGATGAAGGACTACGAAGTCCTTCGCGACGAGAAGGCCGAGTTCACAGAACCTTGCTTCGACCTCGGCCTCGCGTGAGCGCGCATCCCTAGGTCGCGTTGTTAGTTGTTTAGGGTTCTGCGCGTTTTCGTCGGCGTCCTTTCTAGGTCGACGTTGGCCTTGTCGGTTTCCCGCGTGGTCGACGATGTCCATCCGCGATGGACGTCGTGGCGCTGCGTCGTCTTATTAACTAGTTTGCCTGTCCTCGACCATTGGCCCTACGTTGGTGACGTCCGTCATGCTGCCGGCGACGTCGCCGTCGTGCGAAACCTTCGTCCGAGTCCGCTTGTCTTGCTGTCGGCGCTTTACCCCGGCGCCCGGCATGGATTGTAGCTCACCGCGCAAGTGTTTCGCTCCCGCCTTTTCGCCCCTGCTTGTCCCAGGTACGAGCTCGATCGCCTGGGAAAAGGCGACAGGATGATCCTGATCCGCGGTGCGAGTCTTCGCGCCGCCAGGACGGCGTCGAAGCCGGACTATCTGGTTTTCGGGTCGGCCTTCGGCTTCGAAGCCCTCGCCATCCCCCTGTGCACCGGGTGAGTGTTCCGCGCCCATGAGGTTTGATCCACGCCGACCGCGTTGCTTGTTTTTCCCGGACAGAACCCTGAATGTCTCCGTCGTGCTTGTGTGGGCAGGGGCGGACCTCTTCCCGGCAGGCACTGCAGCGTCTTGCTTGTTGTGCGCCCTGGCGACCTGCTTTTGCCCGACGAGGAGGAGATCGGGACCTTCTACCGCCACCTCGACCCCAAGACCTCCTCCAAGCGGCACGAGGAGGAGGTGGCCAACGTTTTGAGGTGGGACAACGTCGACGGCTAGTCGCGCCGCTCCCTAACGTCGTTTATGCCGCCTTGTCTGATGGCTCTTTTCCGTCTCGTAGCGCAGGTTTTTCGGCGAATGCGTGAAGGCGGAGTTGAACCGTGAGGGAAGGCAGTGGACGGCTGCGCCTCCTTCCGCCGAAGTCCTCTCCGAACGTCTGGAGAGTCTTGCCGCCCCCATCCGTGATGTGAGTTTCCGACGTCCATGTCGCCTTGTCGCCTGGGCTATCGTCGTCGAGGCGTCGACTCACCCTTTTCCTCGGCGCCATGTGCTTCGGATGTTGATGCAGAAATTGCCCGACATCCTCAAGGAGGAGGTCGCCGGCACGGGGCTGCTGGCGGTCAACGCGTTCGCGTGGTCGTTGGAGCATCTGGACGACGTGCATCGCAGCTACGATCCGCTCATCGTCGAGAACCCGAAGATGGTCGGCTTGAAGGCGCTCTGACTGGAGCTGGTGCACCACGTGGAGAAGGCCGCGTCGAACAAAGGGGAGGCAGCGTCGACCGTGGGTCGTGGCGTCGGAACCGGCATCGCTCTGGGTGGGGAGGCCGAGGAGGCTGCGACGGGGTCGCACTCTGGCGGGCACGGACCCGCAGATGGCGGCAAGGAGGAGCACGAGAGGGAGGACGAGGAGGGGGGCGGGGAGCAGGACGGTGGCTCGGAAGAAGAGGAGGACAAGGAGCGTGAGGGCGACGACGTGGTTGTCACCGGCGAAGAGGAGGCAGTACAGTTCGCCGGTGAGAAGGTTGCGGATAAGAGCGGCGGCAGCGGACCCAAGTCGGGCGAGAAGGCGCGGGGCAGCGGTGGCTCGACCCCGACTAGGATGGCGTCAAAGGCGGCTATCGAGCGTCTGAAGGCGGCGGAGAGGGAGATCAAGAAGCTGAGGGAGGAGAAGCTGGTGGCGGAAAAGAGGCTGGAGTTCCAGATGGCCCGGAATGACACGATTTTCGGCGTGGTCACCTCGGCCGTGAACAAGCTCACGACAGTCGCCGAGGGCGTGACCCATCACGAGCAGACGTCGAGGAGGAGCCTCCAAATGGCGGTGGACGCTATGAAGGCGGTCGTGCAGGAGGCGGTGACCTATCGCGGCTCCACCCTAGAATTCATGAACACGCAGTGGTTGCCCACCGTGCAGGCCCTGCACTTGACGGCTACTGCTGCACAGGGTAGGCGACGGGAGGACGACCTCCTGCTGTTTCGAGGTGTGGCAGATGCTCTTGGCGAGAAGATCAAAACCGTCATGTCTGCCGAGGTGAAGGCTGCCATGGAGGGCGAGGCGCAGGGGATCGCCGCTGCCGTGACTGCGAAAGTCGTCCAAGAGCTTAGGGACGACCTTGTGAAGGCGGTCACCTCCGCGACCCAACAGGGCATTGGTACCGCCGGGTTTAGCCTCCTCCCAACTGCTCTCGCGTCGGTGATGCACGGTGGTCGCGCAACCGCCGAGGAGAGTGGGCCGGCGCCAAGGCAGTCGGAGAAAAGGGTCGCCGACGAAAAATCCCTGACCGGCGACCAGACCAGCGGCGCTAAGCGAAGCAGAGGACCTGCGGCGAAACGCGGTGTGGGCGTGGATCCTCCCGCCGCTCCGTATGTTCGTGTCCCCGTCGTCCTAGACTTGCTGAAAGAGGGACTTGGCGCGCGACCGAGCGCAGATTTTTGATAGGTCGACGTCGCGCTCCAGGATCCAGCTTCAGTGGTCGGGAAGACCGGTGGACAGCCCGTGGGGGACAAGCAGCCACAGACCCCGACCGATCCGCCGAGCGCACACCACGCGCCACCGAGCTGCGACCAGGCGAGTCTGGCCGACGAGCTCATGGGAGAGGCATCCGTGGTCGCGAAGCAGGGCTGGCAGCCAACGACGGACCAGCATCCACAGCCCGAGGACAGTCCGGCGACTGCACAAGGCGCTCGACCGAGCGGCGGCACGGCCCAGATGGCCGACGACATGCACCTCGCAGCGGTGGTCGGCCAGCCGCGCGGGGAGCCCGTTGCGGTCCAGCATGTTCAACCCTTGACAAGTACGCCGACTGCGCATCCGACCGGCGTCACAGCACAGCTGCCCGACGACCTCCTGCGCCCCGCAGCGCTGGTCGGACAGCAGGGCGGGCCGCCCGGTGCGGGCCAGCATCTTCACCCGTCGACGAGCACGGTGACCGCACAAGACGCGCGTCCGGCTGGCGTCACGGCGCTGGTTGACGAGCTCTTGCGCCCAGCAGCGGTGGTCGGACAGCAGGGCGGGCCGCCCGGTGCGGGCCAGCATCCCCCCACCGCGACGAGTCCGGCGACTGCACAGGACGCGCGTCCGGCTGGCGCCACGGCGCTGGTCGACGAGCTCTTGCGCCCAGCAGTGGTGGTCGGACAGCATGTCCAGCAGGCCGCGGCGGGCCAGCATCCCCACACCGCGACGAGTCCTGCGACTGCACATGACGCGCGACCGGGTGGTGTCACGGCGCTGGTCGACGAGCTCTTGCGCCCAGCAGCGGTGGTCGGACAGCATGTCCAGCAGGCCGCGGCGGGCCAGCATCCCCACACCGCGACGAGTCCTGCCACTGCACATGACGCGCGACCGGGTGGTGTCACGGCGCTGGTCGACGAGCTCTTGCGCCCAGCAGCGGTGGTCGGACAGCATGTCCAGCAGGCCCAGCGGGCCAGCATCCCCACACCGCGACGAGTCAGGCGAGTGCCAGTAGCGGGAGACCGGGTGGCGTCACGGCACAGCTGGTCGACCAGTCTTTCCGCCCCGATCTGCGAGCGACAACCGTCCTACCCAGCGGCGCGGTCAAGGCCACATCGGTGATCGTGTCGACGACGACAGCAGCGCCGACCAAATCGGGTACTGCCCGGGCGACCTTGTCGCTGCCGAACCCGCCTCCGCCTACCACGGGCACTGCCGGTGCGGCCAGCTTACCCGTTCATGGGGCCATGGTCGCCGCGGAACCGATCCCGATCCCAACGGCTGTTGAGTCTCGGGCGGTCAAGGCTCTAATCACTCAAAAGCCATCGTTCGACGAGTATCTGAAATGGCTCGAGGATCAGGGTCAGAAAACCCCGGTAATTCCTCCGACTCACAGCAACCAGGCGGTCAACCAAGGAGCAGTGGCAGCGAACGTCGCGGCGGCGACTGCAGGGCCGAGTGGCTCAACGGTGGAGGCGGCTGTGTGGAGAGCGACGGAAGAGGCCGGCGGGGTGGACGAAGAAATCCTCGCCAGCATCGTGATGCCGGACCCGGAAATCGAGGTCATGCGGGAAAAACTACACGCAGCAGCTCCCACTGTGGGAGCGCAACAGGGTACACCCGCCGCCTCGACTGCTCCTGCGGAGGACCATCGCGCGGCTGGCGCCAAATCCCCCCCGGCCACAACCTGTGAGGTCGGCAACGGGAAGCAGAAGCGCAAGGGCAAGGACAAGGCAAAGGGCGGCCCGGCGAAGGCCGGCTCTTCCAAGGGGACGTCCAAAGCGGCCGCGCAGGGTCGGAAGGGTTCAGGCGTCCGCGTTGACCCTTCAAATGGGCTGGCCACGTCGGAGATGAAGTTTGGGAAGAAGAGCCGTTACATCTGCCGGTCGATGGACAAGTCCGAGGCCGCCTACTGCATCGCTGTCGCCGTTTCGTCGTTCGACGGCTTCGTCAGCGACGTGGTTCTCGACGAGTTCGGTGGGGTCAAGGAGGAAGTGATGGCGCAGTATAAGGCGGACTGGAATGTGGCGCGATTGATTCCGGGGGGCATGTGGATGGTCATGTGGAGCCGAGGGGCGAACGTCTTCCGCGACAGGTAAGCTTGGCAAATGCTCAATTTGGTGCTCGTTTCGGTCGGTTCGCGTGGTTCGGTCGGTGACGGTGGGTATTCCTGCTGTGTTTCGCAGGTTCCAAGAGGTGGTCGCGGAATACAACAGGATAACCGGAGCCTGTCAGAATCCCAACCACTAGACCATTGGGATAAGAGGGCTTGTTAAGTAGCGGGTCAGAGTGCGCCCGTAACCCCCCAGACGAACGCGCCTGTAACCCCCCTAGGATCAATCGGGCATCCACAGTGCAGATCTACCGACACCCCCCCACACTGGGATGCCCAGGACCGAGCACAGCGGCAACGGCCTACATGTGCATACACTGGGATTCGAACCCGAGACCTTACTGACACCATGTCAGAATCCCATTCACTAGACCATTGGGATAGAAGGGCTTGTTTGTATAGCGGGTGAGTGCGCCCATAACCCCCCAGACGAACGCGCCTGTAACCCCCCTAGGATCAATCGGGCATCCACAGTGCAGATCTACCGACAAGGTGTCAGAAGTCCACTGGTGATCCCCGATTGATCCTAGGGAAGGGTTACAGGCACGTTGGCCTGGGGGGTTATGGGCGCACTGACCCGCTACTTAACAAGCCCTTTTATCCCAATGGTCTAGTGGTTGGGATTATGACATGGTATCAGAGCGAAGGTCTCGGGTTCGAATCCCGGTGTATGCACTTCGGGCATCCCAGTGCGGGGGGGTGTCAGAGGTCCACTGGTGATCCCCGATTGATCCTAGAGAAGGGTTACAGGCACGTTGTCCTGGGGGGTTATGGGCGCATTGACCCGCTACTTAAAAAGCCCTTTTATCCCAATGGTCTAGTGGTTGGGATTCTGACAGAGCCGACCGCGCAGCTCTCATGTTGGCTCTTCGCCCGGCGGTGTGGTTCGGCGACCTTCCGGAGTCGACCGAGCCCGAGAAGGCCGCGAAGAACAAGGTGGCGAGCGACATGGTCGCACGCGTTTCGATGTGTGCCGCGTTCGCACCTGTGGCCGCGAAAGTGACGCCCATTCCGGGCGTCGGGTCGGAGCGGTTGTCCGAGATCCTCGCCGGTACTGCGGCTGCGGTGTGGTGTTTTTCGGAGACCAATGCCACGGCGGAAGTAGCGGCTGGCGAAGGGGGGGCGGCAGCGACCGTGCGCGGAGCGTCCAACGAGTTCGCGAGACGGTGTCGGACCGTCATCGAGGCGGTGCTTCAGCGGGCGGCCTCCCGGGTGGTCGGCGTAGGGGAGGTCGCCGAAACGGTGACGAAGGACCTGCAGGCGGCTGTGGTGAGGTCGTTGCCTGAGGTCGGAGAGGAGCGCGAGCACGACGAGCTGATCGCCCGTGTCATGATCGAGAACCTCGCCTTCTGGGGGGACTGCAATGTCGGAGGCCCAAAGCTCAAGGCTCGCGGCGTCGTTTTGCCTATCGACCCCCAGATGAAGATTATCATTCGGGACAGGGGGGCGAGGGGGCAGCAGCACAAAGGGAAGCAGGTCGCCGACGCCTAGGTCGACAAAGGCTGGCCTGCCTACTCGTAGCATGGTCGGCGTGGGTGCAAACGCTGCAGGCTTTCTGACGAAGACCTACAAACGCTGCCCCGACCGCTCGTGACATGGTCGACGTGTCCGGTTTCGGGTGTTGTTTTGTTGTTTTGTTGTGCCTCTCCGGCTTAGGGATGCTGAACTTGTTCGTCGGTAGTTTCTCAAAAACGTTGTGAAGTAGGTTTTGTGGTGGGAACATAGTGGAGCCGGTTTGATGCATGAACAACAGACAAACTTCTACTAATTACTAGTCGAAACAACGTTGGCAGTAAAAGAAAACCATATAGTATCACTAGAACAGGTCGGACACGCTCAGCACACCCCCAGCCCGCCCTCAGCCCGCCCTCAGCCCGCCCTCGGCCCGCCCTCAACCCACCCTCAGTCACACCACGCTCAGCCAGCAGCACAAGTCGGACCCAGACGCAGTACCCTCAGCCCGCCCTCTTGCGCTTCCCTACGCCGATGGCTCCCGCCGTCGCCTCGGCCTCCAAGCCGGCCTTATTGGCCTGCTCATCCCACAAGTCGCCGAAGAGCCTCTTTCCCTAGTCAGCGTCCATGTAGCCCGCCGTGACCACGCCCCACGCAACGGCGAGCTTCCTCGCCAGCGGCTTGTCCAGACCCTTGATGCCGACCGACTTTCCGTCGGCTGTGGTGGGGACCTTGATGGGCGCGGTTGCACGGAGGACCAAGAGCGCGTCGCTGAAAGTGGAAAGCCCCGCTCGCCCCAGATGGTCGAGTAGCTTGATGACGGCGGCGGTGTCAGCGGCGTCGTCGCTCCGCCGCAAGTCGTGCACCGCTTCCATGATCCGCCTCATCCGGCGAGTGCAGTGCTGCAGCGCATCGTTTTTCCCCTTCTCACCCACCTCGGTCGTGGGACGGGAGCTCTTCGCCGACTTCGCCGACGCTGCGGGTTTGTCGCCCTTTTCGACCTTGCAGATCATGCGCGTGTGTCTGACGAGGAATCTGTGCTCGTCGTAACGTTCGCGCAAGGGACGCGAGTCGAAGTTGGACGGGTTGTTCCACCAGCGCCAGGCAGCCTCGACCGTCTTGGACGTGCGCCAGGGATGCACGACGTTCACCTCGTACGTCAGGTCGTCGTCCTGTTCCTTCTCGATCTTGACGGAAGCTGCCTTCTCGGCGGCGGTCATCGGCCTTGTGGTCGGCGGTGCAGGCGCAGTCGGCCGTGCCTCGGCCAGCTTGAGAGCCTGCATCAACCTCGCGATCTCCGCGTCCTTCTCCTCCAGCTGCTTCTGCATCCCAAGCTTCTCGATCGCGGCATCCTCTCTCTGGCGGTGCAGCATCATGGTGAGCTGGTCGACCTGATGGAAGGCGTCGACTCGCGCGCTAAATTCCTGCGATCCAAGGGGAATGGTCGGCATGCCGTCAGCAAATGTAGCAGGACGACTGGTTTGACAGGTAGCCGCAACGCGCTGGCCGTACCTCTTGGGGGTTCTCGGTCGGAGTACGGCGCGTGGCGATGGTCTCGAGGTCCACCCGGTTGACGTCCTTGGCCCATTTTTGGAAGTCGGGGTCGCGGCAGAGCTTGGAACTCTGGACGGTGCCACGGTTCGCGCATCAGCATGCACGCCAGATCCTCGGCGACGATTCGGCGGCCGAACTCGATGAGCAATTGCAGGAAGTGCACCCCGGCTGTGTTGGGCTCTCTCGCGGTGGCGCACCTTACCGCCTGCGTGTCGAACACAAACACAAACACAATCAACCATCGGTGGAATGTCGTCGTGGAAATGGTCGGTGGGAAGTCGGGGGAACAGCGTCTGAAATGCTCACCTTGTCCAGTTCCGCTTCAGCCCAGGGAAAGATATGCTGGGCGATGAGGGCCACCACCTTGGGGTCGGGCGTCACCAAGCTGCGGCCGAGGTGGTAGTCGCCGCACTTGCCCGTGTAGCCGGCCTTTCTTAACACCGCGGCCTTCGGGATGGTCGTGATGTAGCTCTTCGCAAGCTTGTCGAGCGCCCAGTGGCCCAAGTCGGCGATGTCAGATCGCGGGACTCCATCGTCGGCCAGCTCCTGTGCCCCACCCGCCCGGGCGGCGTGGGTGTTGCGCGTGATGAAGATCTTGTTCGTCCGCCACATCTCTTTCGTGATCCGAGAATGAGATGAAGCCGGCAGCTCTTTTTGTGCCTTGTCGTTCCGAGCATGAAAGAGGTGCTTGTGATGCCAGCTGTACGGAGTTGTGAAGTCGAGGGGCGGCACACATCGAGAGGTGGGCGAGCGGCTTAGCTGGTTGTACACGAAGTGCAGCCACAACAGTGTGTGACCGACGGCGCACATCTCTTGCTCCAGGTGTCTCGCCGCGTAGCTGTGATGTAGACGAGCATCCTTGTTTGTCTTGGAGTTTCGTAACGCGACGACCATGACAACCGGCCGTCGCATGGAGTGCTCGGGCGACGCGCTCCCCATTCTGTACAAAAACAGGTCGGGGAGCTCGATCGCTCGGAGACTGGCTCCGCGGAGAAGGGTGTGGTGACCCAAGAGGGTCATCGTCTTCATCAACAGAAACTTCCACAGTGTCTGGGAGGGGGTGGCCGCCTTGGGTTCGTACGCCCGAGCCGCCCAGGTCGGCAAGACCTTGAACATGAGGTGGCGGATCTGGTCGGTGGTGTACGTGTCGCCGAGCGTTCTGCGGTGCCGGTCAACGCAATCCCTGCACATCAGTTTCCACGATGACTGGGTTAGCTGGGCGAACCGGGAAACAGGCGTGAACCGCGCGAGACGACTTGCCGACTTACCTGTCGTCCCTGTGCCACTTCTCTCTGACCATCACGCGCACCTCCGAGCGGACCTCGGAGATGTCGTACATGATGCGGAGCTCCTTCACCCCGAAGAGCGTCCCCTCGACCTTGCAAGCTGTCTGGAGTGCTTTGATGCGGATGAGCAGCAACGAAACGGTTGTCGCCTTCAGGGGCTGGACACGGACGTCGGGATTCAGCTCCTCGAGCTCCTCGGCCTTTGCAATACCATGCTACCTCGCGATTGACAGAATGTATGCCCTGATCCGCGTGGTGTTGACGCGGGGACCGTGCATCCATTGTAGGTCGCCCTTGGCGGTGTGCCACTGATCACCCATGTCTTCGTCGATGTACCTCCCTATCTCGTCCTCGTGCTCCAGCACGCCGTCCCCCTTGACTCTGGCGGTTTGCAGTCTTGGAAGGTTCGCGCAGCACCATCTCCTGAAGTCGAGCAGCGCCGGCAGGTACTGAACCCGGGTCGTTCTCGCCTCCAGCGTGTCCAGATGCCGGAAACCCCACATCATCCTCAGCAATCTGTTCTTCTTGGCGAGCTCTTTGTTGATGTCGAAGGCGGCTTCCGCAAAATCGCTGCCGTGTATTGCCTTCGCACCGTGGCCCTAAAGGCCGCCCGTCTTTCGGCCCTCTCAACGTTCTCGGCGATCGTCAACTCCGCGGCAATGTCGGACAGTTCGGGAACTTCGGGAAGTAAGGGCGGCGGATTGGTGTTCTGCTGGGTGATGTTCGGAGTGGTTGTGGTCGGCGGCGCAATGGTCGGCGGGGTGTGAAGTGGCAATGAATCGTTCGGCGGGGTGTTGTTCGGGGGGAGGTTGGGCGGTGGGGTGTTGTTGGTCGGGGTGTTGTTCGTCGGGGCGTTTTCCGGCGGGATGTCGTTAGACTGGTCCCTGGCCATTCGAGGCCGTACTGGGGATCACTGGCGACGACAATACTGGTTGTGGGTACGAAGAAAGAGGTCGGCCACTTTCAGTTGTTGTCGACCTAGCTAGTCGTCCTAGTCGGAATGATCCTAAGTCGGAAGCCCGTACAGTTTGCCGACCTAAACGCACTCTACACCGGCGTGGCTCGTCGTCGACCCTGCACCACGCGAGGTCGGTCGGTCTCAGAGAAGCGTGAAAATGACTAAGGGAAATGTGGCTCACCAGAATGAAAGTGAATGCAACGCAACAAACAAGAGACGAAATGGCATGGACACTTGGCCGTCAGGGGGTCATAGCATAGAGAGGCACAGTCGCGGGTCGGGCGGACAGGTGTTGGCGAGCGATCCGTGGGCAGGTCTCCAACCCTGCATGCAAGGCAGAACGGCGGCGCAATGGTCGACGTGGCACGGGGCACGCATGTCTTTTTCGCAGCCGACTGTCCGGTGTTCCCGTCAGGCTGAACCGTACTTACACGTCGGCGTGACGCAGCAGTGCTCATCGCGTCGCCCGACGATGGTATCCCGCGGGCACGTTCCCGCCAGCAGGCCGCCAAAGGCTTGATCGCCGCGTGGACAGACGTTCGCCGATCGATGTTCGCCGCGTGGAATGTTATGTTTGGGATGGGCGATGTGTGGCTGTCGGTCACACACTGTTGTGGCTGCACTTCGTGTACGACCAGCTGAGCCGCTCGCCCACCTCTCGATGTGTGCCGCCCCTCGACTTCACAACTCCGTACAGCTGGCATCACAAGCACCTCTTTCATGCTCGGAACGACAAGGCACAAAAAGAGCTGCCGGCTTCATCTCATTCTCGAATCACGAAAGAGATGTGGCGGACGAACAAGATCTTCATCACGCGCAACACCCACGCCGCCCGGGCGGGTGGGGCACAGGAGCTGGCCGACGATGGAGTCCCGCGATCTGACATCGCCGACTTGGGCCACTGGGCGCTCGACAAGCTTGCGAAGAGCTACATCACGACCATCCCGAAGGCCGCGGTGTTAAGAAAGGCCGGCTACACGGGCAAGTGCGGCGACTACCACCTCGGCCGCAGCTTGGTGACGCCCGACCCCAAGGTGGTGGCCCTCATCGCCCAGCATATCTTTCCCTGGGCTGAAGCGGAACTGGACAAGGTGAGCATTTCAGACGCTGTTCCCCCGACTTCCCACCGACCATTTCCACGACGACATTCCACCGATGGTTGATTGTGTTTGTGTTTGTGTTCGACACGCAGGCGGTAAGGTGCGCCACCGCGAGAGAGCCCAACACAGCCGGGGTGCACTTCCTGCAATTGCTCATCGAGTTCGGCCGCCGAATCGTCGCCGAGGATCTGGCGTGCATGCTGATGCGCGAACCGTGGCACCCGTACGTCCAGAGTTCCAAGCTCTGCCGCGACCCCGACTTCCAAAAATGGGCCAAGGACGTCAACCGGGTGGACCTCGAGACCATCGCCACGCGCCGTACTCCGACCGAGAACCCCCAAGAGGTACGGCCAGCGCGTTGCGGCTACCTGTCAAACCAGTCGTCCTGCTACATTTGCTGACGGCATGCCGACCATTCCCCTTGGATCGCAGGAATTTAGCGCGCGAGTCGACGCCTTCCATCAGGTCGACCAGCTCACCATGATGCTGCACCGCCAGAGAGAGGATGCCGCGATCGAGAAGCTTGGGATGCAGAAGCAGCTGGAGGAGAAGGACGCGGAGATCGCGAGGTTGATGCAGGCTCTCAAGCTGGCCGAGGCACGGCCGACTGCGCCTGCACCGCCGACCACAAGGCCGATGACCGCCGCCGAGAAGGCAGCTTCCGTCAAGATCGAGAAGGAACAGGACGACGACCTGACGTACGAGGTGAACGTCGTGCATCCCTGGCGCACGTCCAAGACGGTCGAGGCTGCCTGGCGCTGGTGGAACAACCCGTCCAACTTCGACTCGCGTCCCTTGCGCGAACGTTACGACGAGCACAGATTCCTCGTCAGACACACGCGCATGATCTGCAAGGTCGAAAAGGGCGACAAACCCGCAGCGTCGGCGAAGTCGGCGAAGAGCTCCCGTCCTACGACCGAGGTGGGTGAGACGGGGAAAAACGATGCGCTGCAGCACTGCACTCGCCGGATGAGGCGGATCATGGAAGCGGTGCACGACTTGCGGCGGAGCGACGACGCCGCTGACACCGCCGCCGTCATCAAGCTACTCGACCATCTGGGGCGAGCGGGGCTTTCCACTTTCAGCGACGCGCTCTTGGTCCTCCGTGCAACCCCGCCCATCAAGGTCCCCACCACAGCCGACGGAAAGTCGGTCGGCATCAAGGGTCTGGACAAGCCGCTGGCGAGGAAGCTCGCCGTTGCGTGGGGCGTGGTCACGGCGGGCTACATGGACGCTGACTAGGGAAAGAGGCTCTTCGGCGACTTGTGGGATGAGCAGGCCAATAAGGCCGGCTTGGAGGCCGAGGCGACGGCGGGAGCCATCGGCGTAGGGAAGCGCAAGAGGGCGGGCTGAGGGTACTGCGTCTGGGTCCGACTTGTGCTGCTGGCTGAGCGTGGTGTGACTGAGGGTGGGTTGAGGGCGGGCCGAGGGCGGGCTGAGGGCGGGCTGAGGGCGGGCTGGGGGTGTGCTGAGCGTGTCCGACCTGTTCTAGTGATACTATATGGTTTTCTTTTACTGCCAACGTTGTTTCGACTAGTAATTAGTAGAAGTTTGTCTGTTGTTCATGCATCAAACCGGCTCCACTATGTTCCCACCACAAAACCTACTTCACAACGTTTTTGAGAAACTACCGACGAACAAGTTCAGCATCCCTAAGCCGGAGAGGCACAACAAAACAACAAAACAACACCCGAAACCGGACACGTCGACCATGTCACGAGCGGTCGGGGCAGCGTTTGTAGGTCTTCGTCAGAAAGCCTGCAGCGTTTGCACCCACGCCGACCATGCTACGAGTAGGCAGGCCAGCCTTTGTCGACCTAGGCGTCGGCGACCTGCTTCCCTTTGTGCTGCTGCCCCCTCGCCCCCCTGTCCCGAATGATAATCTTCATCTGGGGGTCGATAGGCAAAACGACGCCGCGAGCCTTGAGCTTTGGGCCTCCGACATTGCAGTCCCCCCAGAAGGCGAGGTTCTCGATCATGACACGGGCGATCAGCTCGTCGTGCTCGCGCTCCTCTCCGACCTCAGGCAACGACCTCACCACAGCCGCCTGCAGGTCCTTCGTCACCGTTTCGGCGACCTCCCCTACGCCGACCACCCGGGAGGCCGCCCGCTGAAGCACCGCCTCGATGACGGTCCGACACCGTCTCGCGAACTCGTTGGACGCACCGCGCACGGTCGCTGCCGCCCCCCCTTCGCCGGCCGCTACTTCCGCCGTGGCATTGGTCTCCGAAAAACACCACACCGCGGCCGCAGTACCGGCGAGGATCTCGGACAACCGCTCCGACCCGACGCCCGGAATGGGCGTCACTTTCGCGGCCACAGGTGCGAACGCGGCACACATCGAAACGCGTGCGATCATGTCGCTCGCCACCTTGTTCTTCGCGGCCTTCTCGGGCTCGGTCGACTCCGGAAGGTCGCCGAACCACACCGCCGGGCGAAGAGCCAACATGAGAGCTGTGCGGTCGGCTCCGGTTATCCTGTTGTATTCCGCGACCACCTCTTGGAACCTGCGAAACACAGCAGGAATACCCACCGTCACCGACCGACCCACGCGAACCGACCGAAACGAGCACCAAATTGAGCATTCGCCAAGCTTACCTGTCGCGGAAGACGTTCGCCCCTCGGCTCCACATGACCATCCACATGCCCCCCGGAATCAATCGCGCCACATTCCAGTCCGCCTTATACTGCGCCATCACTTCCTCCTTGACCCCACCGAACTCGTCGAGAACCACGTCGCTGACGAAGCCGTCGAACGACAAAACGGCGACAGCGATGCAGTAGGCGGCCTCGGACTTGTCCATCGACCGGCAGATGTAACGGCTCTTCTTCCCAAACTTCATCTCCGACGTGGCCAGCCCATTTGAAGGGTCAACGCGGACGCCTGAACCCTTCCGACCCTGCGCGGCCGCTTTGGACGTCCCCTTGGAAGAGCCGGCCTTCGCCGGGCCGCCCTTCGCCTTGTCCTTGCCCTTGCGCTTCTGCTTCCCGTCGCCGACCTCACAGGTTGTGGCCGGGGGGGATTTGGCGCCAGCCGCGCTATGGTCCTCCGCAGGAGCAGTCGAGGCGGCGGGTGTACCCTGTTGCGCTCCCACGGTGGGAGCTGCTGCGTGTAGTTTTTCCCGCATGACCTCAATTTCCGGGTCCGGCATCATGATGCTGGCGAGGATTTCTTCGTCCACCCCGCCGGCCTCTTCCGTCGCTCTCCACACAGCCGCCTCCACCGTTGAGCCACTCGGCCCTGCAGTCGCCGCCGCGACGTTCGCTGCCACTGCTCCTTGGTCGACCGCCTGTTTGCTGTGAGTCGGAGGAATTACCGGGGTTTTCTGACCCTGATCCTCGAGCCATTTCAGATACTCGTCGAACGATGGCTTTTGAGTGATTAGAGCCTCGACCGCCCGAGACTCAACAGCCGTTGGGATCGGGATCGGTTCCGCGGCGACCATGGCCCCATGAACGGGTAAGCTGGCCGCACCGGCAGTGCCCGTGGTAGGCGGAGGCGGGTTTGGCAGTGACAAGGTCGCCCGGGCAGTACCCGATTTGGTCGGCGCTGCTGTCGTCGTCGACACGATCACCGATGTGGCCTCGACCGCGCCGCTGGGTAGGACGTTTGTCGCTCGCAGATCGGGGCGGAAAGACTGGTCGACCAGCTGTGCCGTGACGCCACCCGGTCTCCCGCTACTGGCACTCGCCTGACTCATCGCGGTGTGGGGATGCTGGCCCGCCGCGGCCTGCTGGACATGCTGTCCGACCACCGCTGCTGGGCGCAAGAGCTCGTCGACCAGCGCCATGACACCACCCGGTCGCGCGTCATGTGCAGTGGCAGGACTCGTCGCGGTGTGGGGATGCTGGCCCGCCGCGGCCTGCTGGACATGCTGTCCGACCACCGCTGCTGGGCGCAAGAGCTCGTCGACCAGCGCCGTGACACCACCCGGTCGCGCGTCATGTGCAGTCGCAGGACTCGTCGCGGTGTGGGGATGCTGGCCCGCCGCGGCCTGCTGGACATGCTGTCCGACCACCGCTGCTGGGCGCAAGAGCTCGTCGACCAGCGCCGTGGCGCCAGCCGGACGCGCGTCCTGTGCAGTCGCCGGACGCGTCGCGGTGGGGGGATGCTGGCCCGCACCGGGCGGCCCGCCCTGCTGTCCGACCACCGCTGCTGGGCGCAAGAGCTCGTCGACCAGCGCCATGACGCCAGCCGGACGCGCGTCTTGTGCGGTCACCGTGCTCGTCGACGGGTGAAGATGCTGGCCCGCACCGGGCGGCCCGCCCTGCTGTCCGACCAGCGCTGCGGGGCGCAGGAGGTCGTCGGGCAGCTGCGCTGTGACGCCGGTCGGACGCGCAGTCGGCGTACTCGTCGAGGGTTGAACATGCTGGACCGCAACGGGCTCCCCGCGCGGCTGGCCGACCACCGCTGCGAGGTGCATGTCGTCGGCCATCTGGGCCGTGCCGCCGCTCGGTCGAGCGCCTTGTGCAGTCGCCGGACTGTCCTCGGGCTGTGGATGCTGGTCTGTCGTTGGCTGCCAGCCCTGCTTCGCGACCACGGATGCCTCTCCCATGAGCTCGTCGGCCAGACTCGCCTGGTCGCAGCTCGGTGGCGCGTGGTGTGCGCTCGGCGGATCGGTCGGGGTCTGTGGCTGCTTGTCCCCCACGGGCTGTCCACCGGTCTTCCCGACCACCGAAGCTGGATCCTGGAGCGCGACGTCGACCTGTCGAAAATCTGCGCTCGGTCGCGCGCCAAGTCCCTCTTTCAGCAAGTCTAGGGTACGGAGCGGCGGGAGGATCCACGCCCACACCGCGTTTCGCCGCAGGTCCTCTGCTTCGCTTAGCGCCGCTGGTCTGGTCGCCGGTCAGGGATTTTTCGTCGGCGACCCTTTTCCCCGACTGCCTTGGCGCCGGCCCACTCTCCTCGGCGGTTGCGCGACCACCGTGCATCACCGACGCGAGAGCAGTTGGGAGGAGGCTAAACCCGGCGGTACCAATGCCCTTTTGGGTCGCGGAGGTGACCGCCTTCACAAGGTCGTCCCTAAGCTCTTGGACGACTTTCGCAGTCACGGCAGCGGCGATCCCCTGCGCCTCGCCCTCCATGGCGGCCTTCACCTCGGCAGACACGACGGTTTTGATCTTCTCGCCAAGAGCATCTGCCACACCTCGAAACAGCAGGAGGTCGTCCTCCCGTCGCCTACCCTGTGCAGCAGTAGCCGTCAAGTGCAGGGCCTGCACGGTGGGCAGCCACTGCGTGTTCATGAATTCTAGGGTGGAGCCGCGATAGGTCACCGCCTCCTGCACGACCGCCTTCATAGCGTCCACCACCATTTGGAGGCTCCTCCCCGACGTCTGCTCGTGATGGGTCACGCCCTCGGCGACTGTCGTGAGCTTGTTCACGGCCGAGGTGACCACGCCGAAAATCGTGTCATTCCGAGCCGTCTGGAACTCCAGCCTCTTTTTCGCCACCAGCTTCTCCTCCCTCAGCTTCTTGATCTCCCTCTCCGCCGCCTTCAGACGCTCGATAGCCGCCTTTGACGCCATCCTAGTCGGGGTCGAGCCACTGCTGCCCCGCGCCTTCTTGCCCGACTTGGGTCCGCTGCCGCCGCTCTTATCCGCAACCTTCTCACCGGCGAACTGTACTGCCTCCTCTTCACCGGTGACAACCACGTCGTCGCCCTCACGCTCCTTGTCCTCCTCTTCTTCCGAGCCACCGTCCTGCTCCCCGCCCCCCTCCTCGTCCTCCCTCTCGTGCTCCTCCTCGCTGCCATCTGCGGGTCCGTGCCCGCCAGAGTGCGACCCCGCCGCAGCCTCCTCGGCCTCCCCACCCAGAGCGATGCCGGTTCCGACGCCACGACCCACGGTTGACGCTGCCTCCCCTTTGTTCGACGCGGCCTTCTCCACGTGGTGCACCAGCTCCAGTCAGAGCGCCTTCAAGCCGACCATCTTCGGGTTCTCGACGATGAGCGGATCGTAGCTGCGATGCACGTCGTCCAGATGCTCCAACGACCACGCGAACGCGTTGACCGCCAGCAGCCCCGTGCCGGCGACCTCCTCCTTGAGGATGTCGGGCAATTTCTGCATCAACATCCGAAGCACATGGCGCCGAGGAAAAGGGTGAGTCGACGCCTCGACGACGATAGCCCAGGCGACAAGGCGACATGGACGTCGGAAACTCACATCACGGATGGGGGCGGCAAGACTCTCCAGACGTTCGGAGAGGACTTCGGCGGAAGGAGGCGCAGCCGTCCACTGCCTTCCCTCACGGTTCAACTCCGCCTTCACGCATTCGCCGAAAAACCTGCGCTACGAGACGGAAAAGAGCCATCAGACAAGGCGGCATGAACGACGTTAGGGAGCGGCTCGACTAGCCGTCGACGTTGGCCACCTCCTCCTCGTGCCGCTTGGAGGAGGTCTTGGGGTCGAGGTGGCGGTAGAAGGTCCCGATCTCCTCCTCGTCGGGCAAAAGCAGGTCGCCAGGGCGCACAACAAGCAGGACGCTGCAGTGCCTGCCGGGAAGAGGTCCGCCCCTGCCCACACAAGCACGACGGAGACATTCAGGGTTCTGTCCGGGAACAACAAGCAACGCGGTCAGCGTGGATCAAACCTCACGGGCGCGGAACACTCACCCGGTGCACAGGGGGATGGCGAGGGCTTCGAAGCCGAAGGCCGACCCGAAAACCAGACAGTCCGGCTTCGACGCCGTCCTGGCGGCGCGAAGACTCGCACCGCGGATCAGGATCATCCTGTCGCCTTTTCCCAGGCGATCGAGCTCGTACCTGGGACAAGCAGGGGCGAAAAGGCGGGAGCGAAACACTTGCGCGGTGAGCTACAATCCATGCCGGGCGCCGGGGTAAAGCGCCGACAGCAAGACAAGCGGACTCGGACGAAGGTTTCGCACGACGGCGACGTCGCCGGCAGCATGACGGACGTCACCGACGTAGGGCCAATGGTCGAGGACAGGCAAACTAGTTAATAAGACGACGCAGCGCCAGGACGTCCATCGCGGATGGACATCGTCGACCACGCGGGAAACCGACAAGGCCAACGTCGACCTAGAAAGGACGCCGACGAAAACGCGCAGAACCCTAAACAACTAACAACGCGACCTAGGGATGCGCGCTCACGGGAGGCCGAGGTCGAAGCAAGGTTCTGTGAACTTGGCCTTCTCGTCGCGAAGGACTTCGTAGTCCTTCATCTCAAGTGTCACCATGTACCCACCGATGCCCACTGGCACCTGGAGGGGGAATTCGGTCGCAGGCAGTGCTATCCTACTGGTCGCCATGCTAACACCACGGTATCACGGAAGGTTTGGGGAGGAGCGCGGAGAGCTGACAGGGAGGCAGAGGAAATCGGAAAGCGAAGAAGTTGGAAAGGAGAAATGACGGATGGAGTGGGACCCCCCATCAAGAAATGGGCGTGGGCCGTCGGTCGCCCAGTATGCAGCTCGGGGGACGAGGCAGGTCGTGGCCGAGGGCGAGCCTCCGGCTTCGGCCCGAACCGGGCCTGCCCTCGAGGGCGGGGTTCGGAGGGGCGGAGGTGGGTGGTTTGTGTGGGCCGTGCATGGGGGTGGTCGGGGTGGCGAGGGCGAGCCACGTGTCCCCTCCCGAGGGGCGTTTGTGTGGGCCGTGCATGGGGGTGGTCGGGGTGGCGAGGGCGAGCCACGTGTCCCCTCCCGAGGGGCCAGCGATGTTGACGAGGGTGGGGTCGGGCCCTTTGAATTTCGCAACCAACCCGCCTGCCCGGCGAGGGCAGCCCGAGAGGGTTACTAGGGCCTCGCGGGCAACGCGAAGCAAATGTCCGCCTCCGTGAAGGGGTAACTAGGCCCCTCATCGCTCGCGCGCGAGTTCGCCACCCCTCGGTTGCAACGTGGGGTTCTGTAGGAATTCGGGGTGGGGGGCCGAGGCGGGGGGCGTGGGCAGAGCCCCGCCCCGCGCCAGCCTGGCGGGGGACTCACGCGAGGGAGTTGGCCGACCTGACGCTCGGTCGACCGTCACCCCCCTGTGTCGTCCCAGGCAAAACGGGTGCGTCACCCCGAATTCTGATGAGCGATTCAGAGGGAATCAGCTCACCAGGTGCACGATGACTGCTATACCCCACGTCATGAGTCGATTGCAGAGCACGATGAAGGGGAAGGAAGATGTTTGAGAGTTGACTCAAAGGGCACTGACTGACTCACCAGGTGCATTGTGACTGCCACACCACACGTCATTTGGCGATTGCAGAGCACGATGAAGAGCGGTGCATGTTAAAAAGTTGACTCAAAGGGCACTGACTGACTCACCAGATGCACGACGACCGCCACACCTCACGTCATTTGGCGATTGCAGAGCACGATGAAGAGCGGTGCATGTTAAAGAGTTGACTCAAAGGGCACTGACTGACTCACCAGATGCACGATGACTGCCACACCACACGTCATGAGGCGGTTGCAGAGCACGATGAAGAGCGAGTGCTGGAAGTACTCCGAGTCCTCGTCCCTGTCACCGTACGGGAACTTCATTATCCGCTCATGCGTTACAAGCACACGACAGATTCCGACCACCGATCTCAGCAACGCAAGTGAACCAGAACATTTGAAGGCTTTAAGAAGGACGAAGTCCAGAATTCGGAGCAAGAAGGGTGGACCAGAACGCAACACAAATGACACGCCAAGGCTAATCCGGGAAGGTGTAACAGAGTCGAAAGTCGAAGGAACGTAACGTAACGCCGGTCCTTGCCACAGCAACGCACCTGGCCAGCCAATGGTGTGGGCCCCTCACCTCAACGACGAAACCAAGCTCGATTTAGGCTCGTAAGGGCCATGAGAGTCGCAGCGACGCACATGGCCAATGCTGTGAGATTACGACGGCTTATGCCAGCTATGCTTGCTTGCCTTTACTTTATGATGCTATTTCTAGCATAGGATAATTATATGCATGCATGAATTGCTCGATTTCCTAGGCTAGGTGCTTTCCTATATTTTATTATAGTTATAGCACCGAGCTAGGTTGCGTGCACCGAATTCTGGCTTTTCGGTTGCCACCGAATTGCCTTCTACCGAATTCGGGAAGGATCTGTTCGGGACGCTTCGCGACCCGCGGAACCTTCGCGTAACACCTGGTTACGGGGCCTTGTGTCGAGCCTATATATAGCCTCGTGTTGTACCCAGGTGTTCATTCAATTCAAATTCTCTTTTCTGAGCTCGATCCTAGATCCTCACACTTGGTATTCAGAGCCTGTTTGCAAGCGAAGTTTTTCGACCGCTTAAACCTAGCTTTTAAAACCGCGGGGGCGACGACGGAAAGCGCCGATTTCGGGTAGGTAAACCAGTTCCGCGCTATTTTCTAACGTCCCCCTCGAACCGGTTTTCGAACACTCTTCAGGTCCAGTGGCGAAAAAGTTGGAATTTCGACCGTCGGATCGATTCGAATCTCAACGGCCTCGAGAATTTCACCCAAACAAGTTGGAATTTGGAGCGTCGGATCGAATTTCTTCTCAACGGCCGAGATCAGACGCGAATTTCGACTAAGGGAGAATAACGCGACCTACAGAATCAGCCCTCGTCATTTCTGCAGTCAACTCGACTCACAGTAAGATGACCAGCGCCTAAAATTCATATATTTTCGTCGCAAATCTTCTTATAAATCGCCAAATGGAGGAAAACGGTGATAATTCCGTACGGAAAATTACGGAGTTACACACCGGCCTGGACCAGACGCGAGCGGCACTCCAGCGAATAGAGGAGCTGCTCGCGAACCAGTCGGCAGCCGCCATAGCAGCAGCGAACGCAGCGGCGAATGCAGCAGCGACGTCAGCAGCAGCAGCGGCGACACCGACACTTAACCCAGCAGCAGCGGCAGCGGCTACAGTGAATCTTGAGGCGGCACGTCCGAGGCTACCGGAGACGTTCAATCCGAATGCGAGAGACACTGACGTTCGTCGATTCATTGCGACTCTCGAAATTTACTTCGAGGCCGTTGGCTGTACGACCCCGACACACGATGCAATGCGGATTCAGCTCGCAGCGACACTGTTACGAGGCCCAGCGCTCGAGTGGATTTACAACAGCAATAAGATCCGAGGCGAGGGGTCATGGACGCAGTTTCGGGAAGCTTTAATTCAACGTTTCGAACCAATCAACTCCAGCTACATGGCGCGGCAGCAGATTCATCGGCATAAACAGTTCGGCAGTGTAACACAGTACACGCAGCAGATGGAGAGCCTCTTCAACCGAATTACCGACCTGACCGAAGGGGAAAAAATCCAAGCGTATACTGAGGGGCTAAAGATGGAAGTCCGCCGACAGGTGATTGCCGCAAACTACAACAACTACCGCGACATGGTGTGTGCAGCAGAGAGATTTGATGCGCTAATGCGATGTAAGCCCGAGACACGACGCCACGTGCCGAACAGATCATTCGACACGAAGCGATCGGCACCACCCACGACCGCCGACCCGATGGATATGGACAAGATCGACGCGAAGCAGCGGCCGACAAAATATGAGAAGTGCGAATTTTGCGGCGCAGCAGGACATCGACTCTTGGAGTGTTGGAAGTTGAAGAAGGTACTAGCGGAGCTACAGGGCAACAACAATTCGACATCCACGATGGCGAAAAAAGGAGGACACGATGGCGCGAATTTAAAACGCCACGACCGGCCAGCAACAGGGGAAATCGCCGAGACAAATGGAGGCTCCGCGAAACAAGACTCTGCACCGACCGGGAAACTCCAGCCGAACACCCCCGAGAGTAAGAATATTCCCTCTCAAGGTTTTCAAGCCTTTAAAAAATCCAGGGGAGATTTCGAGGCCAAGAAAAAGCCTTCGGACATTATTCAGGTACCTGAGAAGTTGGGCAAACCACTCCGGAGCGTTGAAAAGGGTCGTGCCTTCCAAGGAGTTCATATTCTCTCCCCGCAGCATAGTGTTAAGGCTCCCCATTGCCCACAAGAGAAGCCTACACAGCTGCAAAGGCTTAAGGGAAGGTTCCAGGCCAAGACGAAGCTGAATCGGCCTTGGATAAATCCTTCTAACCCTGCTCAGTTGGAAACTGATATGGAGTCAGCAGCTTCGAGCGCAGGACCGAGGGATGATCTATTTGACGTACCCTACGATCCTATAAGCGAGACCATCTACGGTTACTCGGAGCAGCAAAAACCACTACTACTCGAGGTGATCTGCAATGGGCGATGCCTCCAGGCAATGGTGGACAGTGGTGCGTCCCACTCGGTGTGCGACCGCGGGACGTTGGAGAAAATTGGAGAATTTTCGGAGGAGACCAAGTTCTCGGCAACAATGGTGGACGGTACGAAACTTCCCATCCACGGCGAAGCATCACTGCAGCTGCACATAGGGGCGCTGAGGTGGAAGCCGACGTTGCCGATCACGAACATCAAGGGATCAGATTTCATATTGGGGCGAGATTTCTTGAAGCGGTTCAACCCCGAGATCGATTGGGTCAACAGGAAGGCGTGCATCTACAACAACGGGAAACGAGTGGAGCTGCGAAGCTGGACGGATACAGGGAACATTCCTGAAACGACACTGGCACGGTTCGAACGGACGGTGAACGAGAGTAACACGGGTTACTTAGCACTGGTTATGGCAGCAGTAGAGAAGAAGAAGCCGAGTTCGGAGCTACCTGCAGCAGTGAAGGAGGTCTTGGAGCAGTACAAAGATATAATGCCCGACGACCTACCCGCAGGCGTACCTCCAGCACGCACCCACGAGCACGAGATCGTGGAGGAACCAGGTGCGAAACCCATCTCACGTGCACCATACCGACTGAGTCCGACCGAACTGACAGACATGAAGAAACAGATAGAATATCTACTGGACAGACAACTGATCCGCCCATCCACCTCTCCCTACGGTGCACCAGTCCTCTTCACTCCAAAACCAGACGGCAGTCTACGGATGTGCACCGACTACCGTGCACTGAACAAACAGACAGTCAAAAACAAATATCCCATACCGCGCATAGACGACCTACTGGACCAACTGCGTGGTGCAACAGTCTTCTCGAAGCTAGACCTACGGTCGGGTTACTGGCAGATCAAGATGGCGGACAACTCGATCCACAAGACGGCGTTCCGTACTCGATACTGCTCCTACGAATACTTGGTGATGCCGTTCGGACTCTGCAACGCACCAGCAACGTTCCAGGCGGAAATGAACCATATTCTCCGGCCCCTGCTGGACGAGTGCGTAATGGTGTACTTGGACGATATCCTCATCTACTCCAAGAACATGAAGGAGCACATGGAGCATCTACGGAAGGTGTTCGAGATCCTGCGGAAAAA